TTGAACCTATACCGGGCTCCAAAGCCAACATACGATCCCAATACTAACCTGATCAATCATTATTTAATTTCTTTAAATCCTTAGAATTTTAGTTTAACAATTTACAATAAAAATTCATTACTCGGACTAATGACCTCGGAATTTGATTTTGGGCATACGCCCAGGTCCCATATTTTTCTACGGACCCTTTAGGATCGTCAAAACCCAAAATCCGGGTCTGTTTGCTAAAAATATTGACCAAAGTCAAACTTAGCCTTTTAAGAAAATCTTAAGGAATCAAATGAGCCTATTTCAACCCAAGCTCTTCCAAATCCCGAACCAACCATCCCCGCATGTCGTAAATTAGTTAAAGCAAGCGTGGAAAGTTTTATTTAGGGAGACGGGGTTCTAAAAAGCAAAATGACTGATCGGGTCGTTACAATATTCATTTGGTTGTACCTGGAATATGCATCGAGAAAACTTATCAACTCGTGGCCGCCCGTTGCATCAATTATTTGATTAATGTTTGGCAGTGGAAACGAGTCTTTCAAATCCTTATAATCTTTGCACATAAGGAATTTAATGTTCTTTTTCGGAACTACTACTGTGTTAGCTGCCAGACAGGATACTTTATCTTTCCCATTGAACTGATGTCGAGCAATCGAGTTACCTCTTCTTTTTAACAAACCTGTTTTTAACCTTGCCAATTGGGCACTTCTTTTGCCTTACCAACGGGGTGCTTGGGTCCAGGCTTAACTTGTGCACGTCCACCTCTAGTGGGATACCTGTCATATCTGCATGCGATCATGCCAAACAATCAACATTAGTTTTAAGGAATTCAATAGATCCTTACATGAGCTTGGGATTTCGTCATGTCCCCAAGTGAACTTTCTTCTCTAGAAACTTCTTAAACAATGCCACTTGTTCGAGCTTTTCTACCGTTGACTTGGCCGCATCCGTTTCTTCTGGTACCTAGAAATATCTTGGTACCTGGTGGGATTCTCACGGCTCTTCTTCTTTGTTATCTTCCTTGGGTTCAGGAGAAGGCGTCAGTTCCTATAATTGTTATGTCGTATGTTCCTTCCCTTTACTAGTGGAAATCGAAACAGCGTTCATCTCTCTCACTGCCGGTTGATCTCCTCTTATTTGTTTGATTGCCTCTAGAGTTGAGAATTTTAGAAGTTGGTGATATGTTAATGGTACGGCATGTATCTCGTGTAGACATGGTATGGCAAGAATTATGTTGTAGCCCATGTTGTCGTCTACTACTTCAAACAAGGTAGTCTTCATGATCCCTTCGACATTCGTGGGCAGCAGGACCTATCCTCGGGTCGTTACACTTGCTAAGTTGAATCCAGCGAGGAGTTTTGCTGTCAGAATGATGCTTCCGATGAGTTTGGCTTGTTCCAGCACTCTCTATTGAATGATGTTAGCTGAACTTCATGGGTCCATCAAAACACGTTTAATATTAAAATCTAGAACGTTGACAAAAAATTACCAGGGCCTCATTGTGCAGCAACAAGAGTCCATTGGTGTCCTCTTCCATGAAGGTGATGTCGTCCTCGGCGGCTTCCCGGAGTCTTTTGCTATGAGTCACTAATAACTTTGTCTTTTTTGTTGCCGAAAAGGTTACACCGTTGATCTCGTTTCTCCCAAAAATCATGTTGATGGTTAGTCGGGGAGGGTCTTCCCTTGCCTTCGAGGGCTCTACGTTATCCCGGCAGCGACCGTAATAGTTCTTAGCCCGGTTGCTTAAAAATTCTCTAAGATGGTCGTTTTCCAACAACGTTGCTACCTCCTCGTGTAAATCTCGGCAGTTCCCAGTCCGGTGGCCATTAGTCCCATGATAATCACACCATAAATTAAAATCCCATTTAATCGGACCTTATTAGCCTTAGGAACCGCACTTTTTTGATATTTCTCATTACCGAGACCGGCTCCACTACACTGACATTGAAATTATACTCCGACAACCTGGGATAGGTGGATCCCGGGAACCTGATACCTCTTTATCTTGCAATGACCTGTTATTACGGTCTTGATCAGTTCTTCTATCGGGAGCGAACTTATTCGCTAACTAGAACCCTATGCTGTCAGGGCAAAAACCACCCTTAGAAGATCACCAATCTACATCAAAGTCATCCTTCAATTTATCCCTATTCTTTTTTCGATCCCGACCCATAGTTGATGCCAGGAACCCGATCTGATCATCTTCTATTCTTATCTTTGACTTGTAACGCTTATGGACATCCTCCCATGTTATTTCCTGGAACTCGAGCTGGCTTTCTTTTAGTTTTTGGGAGGCGTCGGAGCTCCTCATATTCAAGCCTTTAGTAAATGCATCAGCTGCCCATTCATTTAGCACGACCGGAAGTAACAACCTTTCTTTTTGAAACCTGGTCATGAACTCACGCAAAAACTCGAACTCTCCTTGCAAATTCTGAATATGTTCGCCCTTCAGGCCTGGACCTTCCTGGCCCCGGCATAGGCCTTGATGAAAGAGTTTCTGAGCATATCAAATTAATCTATTGAGTGCTCGAGTAAGAGTGAGTACCATGGCAGGGCCCCCTTCGTAAGAGTTTCTCCGAACTTCTTCAGCAAGACCGACTCAATCTCATGTTAAGCCAAGTTGTTTCCTTTCACCGCTGTTGTATAGGTGATGGTGTGCTCCTAAGGGTCTGAAGTCCCATCATATTTCGGTAGATCTGGAATTTTGAACCTCTTCAAAATTTATCTCAGATGCTACGCTCGATTTGAATTCAACTGGGACTATTTCTTTGAGTCCGGGCCCTTCAACACCGGTGGTGCATCCGAAATTTGGTTCATTCAAGCATTTAATTCCCTCATAAATCGCATGAGCTCGGTTTTGAAGGGATCATTACTGTTGTGGTTACCAGATCCGTTGTCGATCCCCCCTCTCCCCCGACCCCATCGAAATTGACCTCATCCCTCAAGGTGTTGTTATCATCCCTTTGCACTGTTTGATTTGTGGGAGCACCTGGAGGAACTGGGCCTCTTCCATTCGCGTTGATGGAAGCACCCGACAACGCCTTCCTTAGTTCTATCATGGCCGGTCTTGCCGTGAGAGATGGCACATGATGGTCTTTTGTTGTTCTCTCAAGATCCTCACCATTTTCGCAAGATGCTCGTCTTCAGCATCATCAGGAGTCGGCTCTTGTACGTGTGAGGGATATCGCCTACCATGAGTCGGCATTGCTACCTACTTCTCATTGCAGGTGTCACTGATCGAATCCTCATGATGAGGCAGGTTTTCTTGTGCCCCAACATTGTGCGCGATGTTGGCATTGTTAGCTGCAATTTTTTATAATTTTTTGCTACGAAACAAAGAATCAACACATGTTAGAGATAGATGCATGGATCAACTCAATTACGCAGTTGTCTAAGCCCCACGGTGAGCACCAAACTGTTTACCTATAAAACGGTAAAGTTGAATTTATAGTGTGGTTTATAGATAAGTGAATCGATTTGATCCAAAATAATAAATAAATTAAATAAAATACAAGACTTAGCATTGAAATTGCGATAAAATAGCAGATAGCTTGGTTCCGGGAGAAAACTTCCAAAGGAAGTAATAAGAATAACGTTAGACAGAAAATAAAGTATTATTCAACTTGAAATAGTGTGCAATATAAGTTTGTCTTATTTTTCGTGTGCCATAATGGTTGTTGAAATCACTATTTATAGTTATACCTAGGGAACAAGGTCCTAGGATCAAGTCCCTTTTAAATGACAAGGATGGGGGCCATTGATGAATATGTAACAGTAGGTAATGAATGCTAAAATTCTCTGTAACGGATGCGTATTTAATACTAAGGAATATTCTCCTTTGAATGTTATCTAGTAACAAATATTTGTTTGCTCTCGTTGATAATGTTCCCTTTCGGGGTCTACCCGATGCCAACCGAAATTGTTGTCCTCAGTCTTAGTTTTCACTCACTTCATCTTTTGACTGCCCTCTCCCCCTCCCCATGTGTCACTCTACCATTCGAGTATTTAATGTGACCCAATACACCCAACATCCCTCTTGTGTTTAGCCGATGTGAGACTTTGTCTAAAGTTTAGGGTGTTACAACCATATCCCTTTGGGCAAAGCAGTGACTACCAAAAAAATCTTTTATTCTCAAATTTCAACTCGATAACTCAAATTAAGAGGGAATGAATCCCACTATTCTGCCATACCCCTTGAGGTAAACACTTGCTACCAATTCATTCCTAAAGCTCGAATCTGAAATATTTGCTTACGGGTAAAGGAATCCTGACCATTCACCGCAATCTTTAGTGATGAATTTCACCCCATTTTTCCATATATATATATATATATATATATATATATATATATATATATATATATATATATATATATACTTCATTTAGTAAGAAATAATGATATGGTTCATAGTATTAAGATTTCAAATTCTTACCAATACTAGCTAATTGGTTTCCCTCCTTACATAGTAGTTATGTGAAAATAATTTCATTTCGTTCCAAATTAGATTCATTATAGTGTGGACAAAATACAATTATTTTGAAGGCAAAATTACTATGTTTATTATATCAAAATATTTTTATACAAATTAAAAAAAAAAGTAAAAATACATAAATTGAAAAGATGGAGTAATTAAAATATTAAATCCACGTTTTTGCAATTGAAATTTCCACAAAATATATTAAACAGAATTATCATGTAGCTCTCATTTCGAGTCTTAACTCTTATCTAAATTCAATGGCTATATTTTAAAATTTCCAGCTTAGCATTTTTTGGAATCATCCTCTCCTGCCTTGAAACGTGGCATTGATCAGAAGGGACCGCAAAATAACCTCGATTCAAATGCCACGCTCTATACCCCGCGCGTGGGAAATCATTGGAAAATATCTTAGCGTCAGGGTCATGACGTGGACCAATCACATTTAAAAGTCTCTCTATGTGGTCCCCACCTCTCGTAACCATAAAAATATCAACACCCCTCCAAATAACCTCCACGTTACCACATATTACTAATTTAATACTATACACTAAAAAAATAATCCTCTATAAAACCATATTCTTTGCCATTTGCACACTGATACTCCTCCTCTGCCACCACCACCACCACCACCGTCCACCGTCCGCCGGCGTGAAGCTAGATTCGAGCACCTATCCGGTCTAGCTATTCCTCTTCGTATTTTGTCAATCTTTTTACAGACTTGTTCAAAAATTTCATTATATACACGAAGCAGAGTATTTCTGTTTCGTGAAAACATCGGAAGGAACTACTATATGGGATGGAGGCTAATAATAGTAATATTGTCGCGCCTTTCGTGTTGAAAACATATCAAATGGTGAATGATCCAAAAATTGATGGACTCATAGCTTGGGGAAGAGAAAATAACAGCTTTATAGTTGTTGAACCTTTGGATTTCTCTCAAAGAATCTTGCCTATTTATTTCAAGCACAATAATTTTTCCAGCTTTGTTCGTCAGCTCAACACTTATGTAAGTATATATAATATAATTATATATCAGAACATAGAAATATGGTTTACAATTAGGTTTTGTGGTTGTTTGAATTTTTCTGATGATGTTATGTAAAAAAAAAAATTATAAAGTCAACACTGTCTTATCATGTCTAATATGACTTAGCAAAATCAGATTTGGATTTTAAATTTAATTGATTCAATCTTAAGGTTTTAGGCACTAAATTATTGCCATATACTTTTAAAATTGTGGGGTTAAAAATTTACTATAATATTTGTTAAATTTTTAGTGAGTTTTTGATAGATTTATATATGTTTCATATTGAAAATATTGAATTCTTGCACCAACGGATAGTACACTCTATCTGCCTATGTGAAAAACTGACTCTTTTCTCAGCACTAAAATTAATACGATATACTTTTAAAATTAGGGGTTGTAATTTTACTGTAATATTTGCTAAATTTGTAGCAATTTTTTGATAAATATATCTATATTTCATATTGAAAATATTGAGTTCATATGAACCAATAGACTAATACACTCTATTTGCCTTTGCGTGTGAAAAAGCTGGGAGTTTTCTTAAGTTCATTGTGAATGTGGTGGAATCTAAATAGCAAAATCCTACATGTTCTGATATCGTGTTGAATCATTTACGACAAAAGTTTATTTGCTCCAATATCAATATTGAATTTTTTATAATTTTATTTAAAAGTTTTATACTGTTTAATTATGTCTAAACTACTAACGTAACTATGGTCTATGTAAATTATAATTGTGGTATTTAGCTACCAAGAGTTGATTTTAATTCTAATTTATTTATTGATGTTGAATGAATTTGCAGGGTTTTAGAAAAGTGGATCCAGATAAATGGGAATTTGCAAATGAATGGTTTTTAAGAGGACAAACACATTTATTGAAGAATATAGTGAGGAGAAAACACAGTAGAAATTCATATTCTTTGAAACAAGATGAGAGTGAAGATGAAGAGATTTATACAGAAATTGCAAGATTAAAACAAGAACAAAAAGCCTTAGAACAAGAAGTTGAAAATATGACTAAAAGATTAGAAGCTACAGAAAAAAGGCCACAACAAATGATGGCTTTTTTGTGTAAAGTCGTTGATGACCCTGAGATATTACCAAGGATTTTATTGGAAAAAGAGAGATCTAAAAGGGTAAGTTTAAATAATTCTGAAAAGAAAAGGAGAATTATGATTTCTAATAATTCCACAAGTTGTTCTTCGGTGAAAAGTGAAGAGGAAGTTGGTGGTCCATTAATTGGGGCAATTTCGTCATTTCGCTCTCCCGATGCGAATTTCGATAAGGATACGCTTTGTCAGTCTTCGCCATCATCGGAAACACCGGCCATGACGTGGCTAAGTGGTCGGCCGATGATAACTTATGAGCCTTATCGGAGTTGTCCGGCTATGTCTAGTTCTTTGTCGTCGGGCTCGTCGGAGAGTGGCGGATTCACGACGGGACCGTCGTCCGAGGCTTTTTCCGGCTATGACTACGGCGGCGGAGGAGGAGGAAGTGTGGCGGCGGAGGAAGTTAGTCCACCACCTTATCCATTTTCTTTATTAGGAGGTGGTTTTTAGCCTGTGTGACCTATATTTTGTAATTATTTTTATTCATGCAATATGTTACTAAATGTATCTGAAAAGTGAGACCTCCTAGTTAACCTTTAACAATAGAACTAATAAAAATTGGCTAGGGAATATAGGTTCATTTTTTCAAGCTATGCTTGATAATTTTTGATAAATTTAGTATAAGTCTGAAGTTTTTTCCTTCTTTTTCTAATTAAGAATTCCCAGTTTTATTTGGGATTAAGGTCATGGTTAAGGTTGTAACTGTAATAAATAGTATCAATTAGTATGGTTTTGTTAGGTATCTCTTCTTTCATTTTATGTGAACATATTGAATATCAAATTTAAGATTTTCTTTATATGAAAAAACATGTGATATTAACATATCATAATATTTGTTACGGAGAACATCATGTTAATAAAACTAAATAAAATTATAAAATTAAATTATTTTCAAATATAAAACTATATGACACATCTAAATTAAAATAAAAGAAGGGTTGGTGGGGCCTTTCTTTTTTTCTATCGTCCACACCTCTCAATAATGTATTAAATCATGAATCGTTATAGTTGGATAAATATGATTTTTGTATCCTTAATTAGAAGTTTTGAGTTCAAACTTTGAATACTGAAAAGTTCTGGTAAAGAACACTTATCTTTTAATGAATGTTACGAGGCATGAATCTAAATTCATCGGCCTACGATACATATACTAAATATCGGATGATATAAAAAAGTATTTCATTATACCTTGAGGGCTACTCTTTTCAAAATGGTAAAAATTAGATAAAATGATAGAAGGGATAAATTACATTATATATATAAGGTTAATTATTTTATGTATATATATTAAATATTGAATCCCCTCAACTTCTTTGCATATTTACTTTTTTATTTTCTGTATCTCCTCGGTGAAAATTCTGTTTCCGTCAACACAGCTCATCCAATGAGACTGAGCCATTCAATAAAAGTGCCAACTTCTGCTCCATACAATGATCACCCATTGGCCAGTAGTCAAATTAAATGAGTCCCCCACTTTGCACATGATCTCTTCCCCCCTATACAGTCTTACACCCCATTCATGCTCACATAAATGGTGCCCAAAGACATAGGGCCCACCCACCAAAAAAATTTCCTTTTTTAGAATTTTTATTTTCAAAAATGTATTTATCTATACAATTTTGTAAGTTCTTTGGAAATTTTTCGAAAATAAATTTTTAGAAAAACTACTTTTTCAAAAATTTAAAAAAATTTCTTTTTCTCCACTCACAAAACTGCAATATTTTTCAATGAAAATGCATATCCAAACATAATTTTAAATTTTAGATACCATTCTTCAACTTAATTTCAATTTTTTTTTTTTTAAATTATAAATTTTATGTCCTACATAATCTTCTGTTGTCGCCCTCAGGCCAGCTAGCCTGCATACCACTGCCTCTTTCTCACGTGAGCAACACGTGACACAAAAACTCGATATTGGTTCTATGTGCATTTTACTCTCTTCTTCCTTTTTTGGGCCCAAACGTATCTTTTGCAACTCTTTTCGTGGCTGATCTGCACAAATATTCTTCTTTTAGGTCACGATTTAGATTTTGTTCGTATTTTAGGTTATTGTTCAGATTTTATCTCTATTTCACATAAAGTTTCAAGTTTTTATTTCCTCTCTCGAAATTTCAACTCTTAACAAATTTATTTCCAAATTCATGTCTAAACACAACAATATTTATTTTAAATTTTCAAAAGTGCTTCTAAGAAAAATACTTTTAGTAGGAAGCAATTTCTGTTTGTTTAATTAATTTAAAAAGTACTTTTGAGCAGCAATTAGTATTTGATCAAACTTTTAAAAAGTGCTTCTAAATGTATTTTTTCAAAAGTAATTTTCAAATAAATACTTTTGGAGAAAAAATATTTATTTTGTTCCTCAAAAACTGTTTCTGCTTCTGTTTAAAAGCAATTTTTTCCTTCAAAAAATTTAGCCAAATATCATATTAAGAAGAAAAAATAGGCCAAAAGAAGCTTGGTCAAGCAGAGTATTATTCTAGCTAGTTAAATTAAATAAATTAAACAATTGGAGAGAAAAAAATAGTGAAAATTGGGAATCTTATCTAATAATATGAAGGCGGATCACGTGGTCCCAACAGTGGGGTCAAGAGGCACGTGGATGGGCCCAAAGAAGAAAGTCCCAACACTTGAAACAAAAGGTAAGTTTGGCCCCAAATATGGACAAAAGCCTCGTCCATTTCTCCCCTGGAATTTTTACATTCCTATGTCATATATGAAACTATATTACCATCAATATTTAAGGTTTGATATAATTATATTTAGTATACTTAATTATTATTTATATACCATTAGTGGTTTTAATACACTCCTAATTTAATGGTACAGTATATTCCTTCTAATACCACTCTCTCCACGTTTCTCTCTCCAATTCCCACACCTTCACCCAAATTTCCCTCTTACACCCATAATTTCTGTATCAAAATCTCATTATTTCTTCCATAGCCAAGGCACTATGGGCACTTCTAGAATCTTGTCCCAATGTTTTTGTGCCCGGGGAAGATGAGCACAAGCCTGGTCGATTTGATGGTTATGATTTCGGGTTCCTTTAGTAATATAAGAGGAAAGGAAAAGAGAACAGCAATTCCACCATTGACAGCCATTAAAAAGCTTTGAATTCAAATTTGGGTTTTCAAGAATCATTATTTATTTGGAATGGGTGTTGTTGTAAATAATTGGGAATATGGTTTGAAGTTTATATCTCAATTTTGAGGGGTTTTGGTGAAGATTAGACTTGATTTTGGCTTAATTTCGGATTGAAACTCGAAGAAGAAAAGAAGAAGAAGAAGAAGAAGAAGAAGAAGAAGAAGAAGAAGAAGAAGAAGAACAAGAACAAGACATGACATACATTATATTGCTGCAATTGTAGATAAATTGTAGATAAATTGTAAACTGTTGTTTATTTATTTTTGAGCTTTTGTGTTTTTGTGTTAAAAGTTTGATGGGAGTTTGTTATTCCACTTCGTCCGTTTTGGCGCTAACTTGTGCAGAGGAGAAGATGTTTTTAAGCTATATATATTGCTATACCTTTAAATTCAAGAAAGTATGGTTGTATTGTATTTAAAGAGGCGTGAATTTGTAGAATAGGTTGAATGTGAGTAATGTATCAAATAATACTCACAATGGCTTGTTTTCTACATTTAATATACAACAAAACTACATATCATTTGAAAAATTAATATGAAAATACAGAATTTCAATGTTTCTACAAAATTTCTACAAACTGTTCATAACAGAATTTATCTTTATTTTCATGCATGTTCGTCTATAACACTAAAGTTACTTGATATGCCAATATCTCCCGTTATAGAGGAATGCAACTTATCTATAATTTCCAACTTTCACACATTATTTTCACCTAGTTAAATATAACTACAATAACATAAAATTTGAGCTTTGTGTTAAAAGTTTTGATGGGAGCTTGTTATCCCACTTTGTCTGTTTTGGAGCTAACTTGTGCAGATGAGAAGATGTTTTTTAAGTTATATATATTGTTATACCTGTAAATTCAAGAAAGTATGGTTGTATTGTATTTAAAGAGGCGTGAATTTGTAGAATAGGTTGAATGTGAGGAATGAGTCAAATAAGACTCACAATGGCTTATTTTCTACATTTATTCTACAGTAAAACTGCATATCATTTGAAAAATTAATATGAAAATGCAGAATTTCAATGTTTCTACAAATTATCTACAAAATTTCTACAAACTGTTCATAGCAGAATTTATCTTTATTTTTATGCATGTTCGTCTGCAACACTAAAGTTACTTGATATGCCAACATCTCCCGTTATAGAGGAATACAACTTATCTACAATTTTCTACAACTTTCATATATTATTTCCGCCCAGTGAAATGCAACTACAATAACATAAACCTTACATACAAATTTTATACAATATGTCTTTTGTATATTTTGTATCTCATTTATACATAGTAAAAACAATTTTTATACAACTAATTATATATTATACAACTTATCTACAAATTATCTACAATTTTCGTACATTATTTCTACTAAGTTATATACAACTACAGTATAATACCACTTAAATATAATTTTTATACAATATTGTTCAACTTTCATACAATAGCTAAATGAATAAAAGAAAAATAAATAAATAACAGAATACAATTTTTCTACAATTTCTGCAATATAATGTATGTCATGTTTTCTTCTTCTTCTTTTTCGAGTTTCAATCTGAAATTCAGCCATAAACAAAAGTCTAATCTTCACCAAAACCCCTCAAAATTGAAATATAAACTCCAAACTATATTCCCAATTATTTGCAACAACACTCAATCCAAACAAATAATGATTTTTGAAAACCCAAATTTGAATTCAAAGCTTCAAAGCTTATTAATGGCTGTCAATGATGGAATTGTTGTTCTCTTTTCCTTTGCTTTGTATTACTGAAATTTGGACATAATTGCGTTTGATGTAGAAGATTTAATCGTTTTTGATTTGTGAAATCAGAAAAAAAGTTTTAAACATAGTGTATCGAAAAAGCAGAGACGCTAAATTTGAAACGAAACTGACGAAGAAGATTAAAGTGCGTGATTTGCGTTGTGGAAGATCTGGAAGAATATTTAATTCCCCAATTTTAGTGCGTCTAAATAAGGAAGCCTACAGCTACAATGATTCCTTATTTAATGCATTGTCTATATTATATAAAAATACTATTAGCATGAAGGGTAATATGCAAATTATGAACATATTTAGTAATATAGTTTCCTATATGGTATAGGAACGAAAATTTCCCTTCTCTTTTTGGGGAGGGAGCGGCCCAATCAGATGCTCGTGCGTCCACGTGCCGTGGCTTTAATTGGAAGGGCCACGTGTTGTGAATGGAGAATCCTACCCTACCAAATGAATAGTATAGGATTTTGATATGGTCTAAATATAAAAAAGGTTTTGATTTATACTATGTTCTATACTCGTATTTGAGTCCTAACTAATTCGGGTTTTCGCCGCATAAGTTTCATTAATAGAGGAAGCACTCCCTATTAGAATTTTTGAAAAGTTATTGCATGTCATATTGACCAGATGACCTTCAACTTTTAATATATGTATGTGTGCGTGTGTTTGTGCATGTGTATGTATAGATCTAAGTGAAAAGTTACTTACACATATACGTTTTAACTTTCTCTCTCCATATATGTGTGCGTATGTGTATATACATCCGTGTATTTACTATTTAACGTATCATACGATTGTACTAGTATAGACAATCACAAAAAGTTAT